ATGTTTTAGTTGTTCTACGTCTGTCCGGCTCCGTCCTCTCTCATCCGGTCTTTCCTTCCTTCCTGGTCACTTGCGTGGGGCCAGGTTGCTGTCCGCGCCAGAAAAGACACCCCAGTCTGAACATCAGCTCCTACAACGGAACCAAAGACACAATATACTCCATACTCGTTGAAAATATCGCTTCTAATGCAACAACAAGGAGACAGTCGGCGGGCCATCTCTATGGAGTCTAAGAGTTGTCTATCCTCTCTTAAATCATAATAGGCGCCTCATAGCTCCTTGGGTTGGAGCCATTAGGGTACCTTCCTAAATGCAGAAGGCTAGCACGCCAAGCCCAACTGACCTAGGCCCGCCTGGAGAGGCCAGGGAACGAGCTTGTGCCCGACCTATTGTGTCGCACTTTCTCTCGTTCTGCAGCGTGTCTAACTGTCTGCGTCCGCTGGTCCATGGTCCATGGTCCTTTTCAGCTCCCGTCTAGTGATTTACCTATTCCCCGTCTTGCCCCTGCTTTCACTGCTTTTTTTTGCACGCTCGCACCTTTTGAGTTCTTCTGTTTCGGGTAGCGAGCGGGGTTTGCAAAGGCAATGCTGCATAATGGACGCCGAGGACCTTCACGAGCGGGAGCGGCGGACCAACTGGTATCGTGGATCCGCAGGTTGTTCCCAGGTGCAGGTCGACTTCGTTTAGTGCCATTAACACTATTGTTTCCCGTTCTCCGCACTTTTACTTGTAGGCACGCATTCGTGATCTTTCGACTCGACGCTGCAATACATGCCCGCCCATGTCTTTCCTTCAGTGTTTGCGGATCTTGCAACAATGAAGAAAGGGGGGAGAGAGAGAGAGAGAGCAGCGTGTTATTTAAGAAAGCGCCTTTATTTGTTCTCACAAAGTTACGATGCGGAGACGACTCTGTGAAGTACGCTGCTCTATGGAGTATTACGTAGCACTGGCCAGGCAATAGTAAACAAACGTGTGCCCCGCCATTTCTTCTCTCGGCCAATGTACCTCGCGGTCGCTCCAACGCACTGGCGCCTATGTAGTAACACGCGATGCATGTCCGGATGCAATGCACTTTTGATGCAACGGGAGCTGTATGTCTCGCCCTTTGAGCTGTGTCCGGTGCCGCTTTATCTACCTTTTCTGCGTTTCTCTCCTTCTGTTTTCTGCTCCGGCCTCCTCTGCATGGCCCCTTCCGAAAACGACAGGAACTACAATAGCTCTCGCGAGTATTTTATTTTCTCTTACCATCCGGTTCTTGCCTTTTTTCCCTTCGCGTTGGTCCTTCCTTCGGATTCGTGTTTTTGAAAATTCTCTAAAATACCAATCCGCCCGCCGCGAAACTTGCTTCTGTTTCTATTTTGCTTTTCTCGTTCTTCTCTCGCTCATTGCCTCCATCTTTCGCCGACGCTCACGGATTTGAATCGCATATTTTCTCCCGACCATATTCTTCGCAATCCTGAATAGTGGTTGGTGCCTGGCGATCTCTCGACCAGAGGACCGTCCCGTGGACCCCTTATCTGTGTTTTCAGCTCATTTCCAGCAATTTGCTGGTCTTAGGAAACACGACATCCCAAAAACGTTTCCCTGTTTTTTTCATTCACAGCTCTCCAAAATTGCTCCCGCTGCTGCCCGTCGACCTCCTCCACAAGCACGCACAAATCAATTCAATTACCGATCCAAATCCCATCGCCAACGACGAGTCTCACGAGCGACTGGAGTCGTTTTTTGCAGCGCCCTTTCCCCCATAGCTCTTCCTTTCTGTTTCAGGCCCAAAGTTCTGCGCGACGTCGTACGCTGTCGATTCAACTGACAAACTGCACATTTGATCCGTCGAGGTGTCTGAACGAGCTTCGAAGTTACATCCACGTCCAATCGAACATCGCTGCTTGTCGCAACTTTCGAGCCGGCTTGCTTGTATGCACACCAGAGCCAGGCGACTAAATTCGAAAGAAGAAAGACAGGGAAAAGGGCAGAGAGCAACGAAACGCACGAAACGCGACAGAGAATCAAACCTTAGTTCGTGTACGGACCACATCTCGACCCTTCCTTGTCGCGCATCCTTGCTCGGTGCATGCACTAGCAACTACTGGACTTGCCCCGCCGCTGTCGTTTTTGCCTCGCCGTTTCACTGGGACAGTTTTGCGGATTGTGTTGCAACTCACAGGTCACTGATCGCAGCCTTGGTGGCTAAAGCTCTCCAAGCGGATCGATTACTCTATACCTCAGCTCCCAAGATCTCGTCCTCGCCTGCCACGAAACGCCAAACATCGAGAAACCAGGGATCGTAGAGCAATCTGTTGGGATCGTGGTCGACGATTACAATCGTCGTTCTGTGCTCGCTACTCGTTGCTCGGTCGGACTGCCGCGTTTTTCGTGTGCCGTCTGTTTCTCAGTGAGTCTGCTTTTCTTACCCAGAATCCGCACGTTCGTGCGCGAGCCGCCGTCCCTTCCCATCATATCATCTTGTTCAGGCACACATCCCTTCCCGTGCCGTTCTAGATTATCCTCCGCCTTTCTGTTTTGCTTTCTTACGGTGTATTGTTATCCTTCCTTTGGTGTTCTGGAAACCATGCGGGGACACGGTTGCTTTGGTTTGGCCTTTCCCCCAATCTCGCCCCGCCCTCATCGCGTGGTTCGCCTGCAGATCTCCTTTGTCGATTTGGTTGGTTTCAACGGCCAGATAAAGTTACCTTGATCAAGCCCGTCGCCTTTAACGCTGGAATCTGTCCCCTTGACTGGTATTAAGGAGAACTTGCTCGACGCCTAGACTCGCAGGTGTTTGGTATTCTGGGATGTCAATCCAATATCAACTGCTGCGCTGATGACACGGGTGTACCTTCTTGCTGCCTCTTTTCGTGAGGAGATAGGGCCACTGGATTTCTCCCGTTATCCCCAAAGAACATTTTATGTCCATGAAGAACTTGACTTTCTATCCCTGCATGTCTTTACCCCTGCATCTCATGACAGTTGCTAGCATACCACGCCTCATAAATCCACTTGATCCTTCTGCACTCTCTGCATCATCCATATCATCGGCACCTTTGTTTGCTGCCCTGGCAAGGAATAGTACTGACAGGTATCTTTCCTGCTGCAGACCAACGAAAGGAGACTTCTACTGTCGTACATTTCCACACTTGCGGAGTGCGCGCTCCGCCGTCTGGTGTCGTCCTGTCAGAATCGACCTGCCGACTCGCATCCATTTCGACCGGCGTCACGTATCTTGAAGACAACTACAAGCAACTGCATGATATAACACGCTGTCCGTACGGAGACAAACCCTCAGCCGAACTGATCGACGTAGCACCGACATATCGCGTCGTCAGTGCGAGACACGAGTCGGCAGTCACTACAAGACGGCCAAGTTAGGTCGCCACCTTCCAAAAGACCGCTTGCGGGGCTACATCGAACGACCAAAAAAGGGCGTACAATTCAAGACCAAGAAGGTGTCCAAACTGGGCCCCAGCCAACCGTCAAGGTATGTCCTTATTTCTCGTTCTCTCTGTCCATCATCCTTACTTCTTTGGGATTTTGACCGTTTGCACATCTGGCGCATCTTGCGTCAAAACACCTCTTTTCACATTTGGCGATTGCTTCAATCCCCCGATCTTGCGTGCGACCACGATAGTGGAGTCAGTATACTGGGACAGGTCGGAGATAGTTACCGACTTTACCGTGGGCGTCGTTTTCTGTGTCTCGTTTTGCACGTTTTTGTTTCGCCCATTTTTTGGGTCGTGATATTTTACCTATTCTGCACCATTTTGCGCCGCTCTTGTTCTGTTGCGTCCATTTGCCCCAGAAAGATTTTTTTTCGTTGTTCATTTCAGCATTTCGCCTCCAGTCGCAGTCTCGGACCATTCAGCCAGTGGCTGGTCTGACAGCGCTTTTGAGTCTCGCGCTCATTTGCTAGTCAGTTTCTTGGGCCCCATTGTTCTCTCACACTGTTCGCCCGCTCCGGAATGATTTCTGCATGCGTGCGGGACATGGGGGGTGGAGACTGTTTGAAGCATTTTATGTTTTTGTGCGGATTGGCTGGGATTTCTGCATTTTGTGGTTATGGTTGCAGAACTGCAGGGGTACTTGTCCTAAAACAGCCTGGCCGGGGGAGGCAGATCCCTGACAGCCACGCGCAGATCTCGCCGGCCACGCTCTTCTCATACCGTGTTTTCCACGAGGTCATCCGCTCCACTCACCATGCTCGCACAAGTATCCTGCTGTACCGGGTACTTGCTTTGTGCTTTCAAGTGCCGGTTTTACAGTGTGACCGCTGTAATACGACCACCTTCCCAGCCACCACCTCCATTCCACCATCACCATCCACACATCCAGCACACGTCCTATCCACATGTCCACAAAACTGCCACACACCGTTGGACACTGCCGCGCATCGTTACTTCGGCTGCCATGTGCAGCGTGAAACAGGCGCGAGATTTCCTCCGATTCGCCTTGTCCACCCCAACGACGCTGAGACGTTTAAATTGTGGTTTTGCTGTCGGCCAGTTGCTGGCGCCTAAGAGAAATTGCCAAAAATTTGTCAATGGCAACAGCAGGATGCACAATGCTACAGTTCGTACGAGCTTTGTTGCGGCTTAAGACATCTAACAAGGACTGCCTTTGCCCTGTGTTTGACCCCATCGGCCTGGCCGTCCGACAAACACCACAACCGGCCGCCTAACAAGGACTGCCGTCATTAGCGTGACCTGACCAGTTGGATAACGCTCGACGAGGTCGCTCCTGGTCGAAGTGGCTTTCTAATTGGCCTTGTCGGCCTGTCTTCTTTTCTCATCTTCCCGTCATTCCATTGCCAGTTCCTTGTCGCCATGCCGCCCTTCCATTTCCTCCTGCACCCAGCGGGTCGGGCACAAAGCTGGGATGTGAGTACTTCACAGCCCTACCTGCCCTGCGGCCGTTATCTCACAGACGATGCTGAAACGCGTTGGGGGCCGTTTTTCACTACATGACGTCTCCCCTCCTCTCTCTACATCTAACGAAATTGCTCCGGCTTAGTGGGCCTTGGAGATTCCGCCACAGCCGGGATGACACTGGGCTATTCTGTCGTCCTCTCCTTGGTATCGTGAATGCCAAGGCGGTGACCAGGTGGCACGGTAGGAGAGAGCGACAACCCGCGATGCTCGCATAACCGCCTGAACCAGACAGGCCTCCTTGTTTCTACTTGCTCGCCGGGTGCCATCGGCGACATGGGTGAATTTCTTCCTGGGCAACTGGCCAGACTGGACTGGGTTGCGTTGGTAGCGTGGAGCGTGCCTCATTGTGCTGTCGCTTTTCCAGAGTTTTGTTGCCGGGAATTATCTGGGAATTGGCACTGCTTGCGCAGAGGCTCGGCATCATTCGGCGCTAGTGGTGACAGCCCAGCGCTCACAGTGCCAGAGTGCTTGCATTTGGGGGCCTGGGGGCCTGGGGCCCTGGGGCCTTGCCCTGCTGCTTCTGAAATACGGAGTGCCAGGCAAACGAAGCTAGTCAAGCCGCTTCTTTCCTAGCGTGCTTTCCCCTTTCACGACTTTATTTGCACACAAAGCCACGCAGAAGTACCAGTACCTCACACGGTACAAGGGGTGGCCATGCACCCCGTTCCACACTTGCCATTCACCCACCAGCCATTACCCCCCAGTTGCACCCAATGCGCTCTGCGTTATGTCGTACCCCGTCCACTGCGACCCAAATGTGCGCCTGCACATGGCGGAGACGTTATCAACCGCCAACTGCCAGACCCAGTGTCGTCAAACTTAAACCTGTGTTGCAGAATGTGGTTTTTGCAGACTCTCCACCACTTCGCGCGCATTCCTCCCCGATTTAGTTCACTAGCGTCTTGGTGCTGTCCACACGCTTGGAGCCGCTCGCACTTTCTCACGCTTCCCACGCCTGCCACGGCTGTATCGACAGTCTTGCCGTGGTCCTCGCGACCTCGCCGCCGCACCAGGTTCTGTCTAATTACCTTGCCAGGCGGAAGGCGCTACGGAACGCGACTATCCTGCACTGTTTCCTTTCCAAACCGCCTTCTTTTCCACCTTTTCGTTCCATGCCTTCCCTCCACATTGTTCCACACCCCCCCTTTCGGTCCTGCTTCTTTCCCCTTTCTTCGTCTTTCTTCTCATCCTCATCTCGTCAGTATTCATTATTGTTTTCTTTCTTTTACTAGTCAACCCCACCACGTCGCCTCCCCCTGGTCCTCATCCACTTCGTCCCGCCCTTCTCACACACTTCTTTGTCGTTTCTCTCACTTCTCGCTCGTTTTGCCTTCTCCTTGGTTTTTACATTAATTCCACTTTTCACTAACGCTTGCCGCCTTCTTGTTTCTTCCTCTTCCCCTTCTCTTTTAATAGATGGCCGCCGTCTCTCATCCATCCCGTTCTGAACCTCTCTCTACCGACAACACTACAAGCACTATCAGCGATACTGCGCCGAGCAAGTTTGCTAGTGAACGAGAAGCCCACAGAGACCTCACGTCCAAGTACCGCTATTCCACGGCGTCCAACTTCACCGTCCCGCAGACTGCGCCCGAAAGCAGAGGCGCCGAAAGCGACATCGCGTCTCTCGCAGCCAACCCAAACGTGGGTGTCACAGCTTCTGCTTCGGGATACCGCCCTCACTACTCCAGCTCACCGTCCATCGTTTCCGTGCAACCTGGTCCTTCCTCCAAGTCGCCGCGCTCCGGCTCCCTGCTTGCGTTTGCTACGGCCGCCATTGACCGGACCCAAACTGCCTTATCCACTGCCGAGCAAAAGATCCGCCCGAGACAGTCGAACGGCCGTCTCTCTGTTGGCGCCGATTCATCTGGTGTTCCTCAGTTCCCTACCTACTACTCGTTGGAACGGTCGCCAACCAACGCATCTGCGTCTACGGCATCTACACCGCAGTCTAGTAGTCAAAACAACGACCACAAGAGCGAAACCCGTCCGCCTCCGACTGTCCTTACCGCGACCAGCAGTGACGACGTATCCCAGTCGGCACCGCTTTCCGGCAAACCTTCGGATCATCCCCAGCACAAGCTCTCTCAGTCCTACGCCAAGCCATACGACCAGGCCGACCCTACTCTCCCGCTCCCCATCCGTCTCCCCAGAACCGACAACAAGATGCATCAAACATCCTCGCGCCTGTTGCGCATGACCGACGACGACCGGCCGTTTACAAAAGTAGGCAACAGACTCATTGTCGATTCTGCCCGGACTCATTGGCTAAATCATATGCTGACAAAAAAACCTTCTCCGTTTATAGGACTTTAAAGATTTGTTTGCGACACTGATTGTTAGCTTGCTGCCATTGTCTGCGCATCGTGTTCGCCTTACCAAGGTCGAGCACACATTCCTGTCCGAAGATGCCATCAACAACCTGGGCTCGCTCAAGTTCTCACAGTCCAATCGAATGCCCGACCCCAAAGACCAGTCCCGCATCGTAACCACCACCACCACCACCACCTTCTCCATGGCCAAGGACATGGCCCGCTCCATATGCCAACGCTTCCTCGAGGCCCGCTTTATTGAGTCTGCCGACGGCAAGTACCAGCAAGTCTACACGATGAAGGGATCCGTGTGGCAGTTGACGCCAAAACGCATTTCCATTCTCGACCGTTTCTGCTCGCGCAACGGAATTCAGCAGAAGCAGGTCGGCGAGCTGATTGGTCACTCCACAGCGCAAATCGTTATCCTCGAGCGCGACAGCCAAACCGACAAGCTCGTGAGCGACCGTGGCACAATCGAGGTCATCTTCCGCCGCTTCATCGGCGTGAATGGCCTTAATGTCAAACAGAGCGTCAACGCTGCCGACTCCGACTCTCTCAGTGACTATCGTGACGGTATGACCGGCGTCAAGATTGCGAGCGAACGCAAGGTGTCGGGCAAGACGTTCAAGGACACCTTCTCCGGCAAGGCTGCCGTTGATTGGCTTATGGACTGTTGCACGACCGTCGACCGCCGTGAGGCCAGCGAGGTCGCCTCGTTGTTTTCTGAGTACGGCCTTATCGAGGCCGTCCAGCACGACCGCATCTTCCAGAGCCAAGTTCCTGGCTCCCACCTCTTCCAACCCACCAAGAACGCCATCTTCCAGCTGACGACCAAAGGCCGCGACCTGTTCAACGGCAATATCTCACGCGGCCGCTCCTCCGAAAGTGACGGCGGGACCGCCCCACGGCCTGGCATTGCCCGTGACTCGAACACCCAGCGCCTGGACAAGATCCTCAACGATGCCGCCCTGCGCCTGCTGTTCCGCGAGAACCTGCGTGAGACCCACTGCGAGGAGAATCTGTCCTTCTACCTGGACGTTGATGACTTTGTCCGCAGCTGCCGCCAGTCGATTCGTCTAGCACAAAAGAACCCCGGTACGACGTCGATGGATGGCATTAAGGAGATAATGGCTCAGGCGTATGGTATCTACAACGCGTTCCTGGCGCCCGGTTCGCCCTGCGAGCTCAACATTGACCATCAGCTGCGCAACAACCTTGCCACCCGCATGACCAAGGCCGTCGGCCAGGATACCGCCATGATCGACACCCTACACGAAGTGACAACCCTATTCGAGGACGCGCAGAACGCGGTCTTTAAGTTGATGGCCAGCGACTCCGTTCCAAAATTCCTGCGCCACCCCAAGTATGAACACACGTTGCGCAACTACGACTTTGACGCCATCGTCATTGGCGGCAACCGCATGCCCGAACGGAGCCAGAGCCGCTCGAACCGCAAATAAGTGTTTTTTTTTCTCTCTTTGAGTGGCAATCTTGCGTCTTGGTTGCCAAAAAAAAAAAACCGTTACCTTACGTCCGTCCCTACGACCTCATGAGATAGCGATCATGTTGCTTTCGTCATCTCTCTTCGTTTCAACACAAATTATACCCTCGACCGTTCGTCCGTCGTTTCTCCAACTATCGTCCGATGCTGTGTCTGACGAGCAGCTTCAGTTTGTCAACTCTGGCCAACAATTTTCGTTCCATTGCTTTCTTACATCCACTCTTTAATTCGATCTGCATATACATGGTTTACCTATCCTACTTTCGTTATATTTCTTCTTTTTTTGCCGCATAGACATGTTTTTATAAGTCCTTCATTCTTGTTTCTTTGTTCTTGCGGTTACCCTACTTGGAGGGCTGGTTTCTGTCTTTTCATCATCTCATTTTCATCTTAATATCTCTGTGGCGTTTAACGGAAATATCCAGCATAGAAAGGGGCGCAGGGAAGGGGGCATTTGCTTCAAAGGAAGGGGAAGCAGTTGGTTCGAGAAGATGACGGAAAGGGTGGCCGGGTGATTAGCGGGTGGTGGAAAAGGATCTAGACAAAAATTCTAAGGATTGGCTCTTCTATGTCAAGTTTCGTGTCTGCATTCTTGTGCCACTCTTCTGCTTCTAGCCTCTGCGACTTGGTTAGGATTCTTTCGTCCCCCTGACCCGCTTCATCTTGAAAATTTAGCGTGTACAATTGGGCCAAGTCGCTGGTTTGACAAGCGGAGAAACAAACACGCCGCTTGACAAGTACACAGCTGCCTGTCACCTATCTAGTCAGCGTTGATTTTATTTTGATCAGTTTCAGAATTCGGGTTTGAAAGTAAAGCGGTTCTCAAGGAGATAGGGGCATCATGAACACATTAGCTACAATATCCAAACCAAAAAAAGAAAAACAATATAAAATTCTCAAATGATTCTGACTGGACCAAAAGCCTTTGCTTATGAGCCACGTACAAATGCTACGTCTCTATGCCTTTCCTCCTGGACGGGGTATATTGAGGTTTCCAAATTCCACATTGTGCCAATACCCATTTTCCCCACGCTGATGCACCAAACACCAAAAATAAAATTATATAAAAAAAACTCAGACCCGAGAAAGAACGGAAAGAAAAGCCAAACCCAAAAACTAGAAAGAAAAAAGAAAGAAAGAAACAAAGAAAAGACAGCAGCACCATTCATTACGGCCTTGAGATTTAGTCCAGATCAACGGCCAGGAAGCGTCTCCGCTGCTGCCAGTCGAATAGAGCCGGCTTGTCCTCGTTGGACGTGGCCGGGGCCAACGTGGCCGCTGCCCCCGCGTCCATATCAGCAAAGACCGTTGGCGAGTAGGGCCCCTTTTGGTTCGGGCCACGGGCGTCCGAGGCCAGGATGGGCGAGTCGACGTAAACGTCTTCGTAGTCGTCCTCGTTGTACACGTAGGGGTTCATGGCGGGATAGTCGACTGTTTGGCCCGGGCGAGTATGTGTCTCCGTAGGAAGGGTAGGTCGGAACGGAGCGAGCATCTGAGCAGCCGGTGTCGGAGCCGGTTTCGCGGCCGGCAGTGTTGGCACCCTCTGGTCTGTGGAGACGCGCCGCTGGCCGCCGATGCGGAGCGGCCGCGGGCACAGACTCAGGTCGTGGAATGGGATGTCAGAAGCAGCGCCAGACACAACGGAGCTGGCGCCGCCGCCGAGAGCAAGACTGGTGGCGTCGCTCCCGGTGCTCCTCCGGCGCGGCTCGCTGGTGGCGACCTCGCGAGCACTGAAGACGAGCGGCGGCAGGAGCTGCTGGTACAGCGAGTGTCGCTGCTCCTTGTCAGCATACAGGCCGCCGCGGCCGGCGTCATCGTTGTCTTTCACAGTGCTAATCTTGGGCAGTTGCATCTGCAGGCGGGTGAGAGGGCTAGCATTCATTTTGAAGCGATCGTATGGCATGGAAGAATGGCTCGACGGCAAGGACGGATTTGGTGACGAAGCCGGGGTAGAGGCGGTGGTGTCGGCAGCCGATGCCGTTGACGAAGACGCTGTCGAGACGCTCTTTGGCACAGAGGAGACCGACAAGGGCGGCGACGATAAAGACGTCGGATCGACGAGTATGTGGTCGTCTGTGGTGGCACCGTCCATCTGCGGGAAGAAAGGGTGGAGGAAACGCTGGTGCTCCTGGTTTTGTTGCTGGCTCTGCAGCTGTGTCTCACGCGCCAGTTGCTGTGAGGAGGAGGGCGGGCCCACGGCAAGAGAAGCAGGGACGCTCTTGCGAGAGATCACAAATGGCAGCTGTGACGGCGCCGGAGTCGGTACTGGTGCTGCTACAGGTGCAGGTGCTGGCGCTGGAAACGGGGCCGGCGTCGGGACTGCGGCAACGTTCGAGTACGATTGGGTATACTGGTGCTGGCGGTGAGGTTGTTGCTGCCGCTGCTGCTGCTCATGTCGTTGATATTGCTCCAGTTGCTGTGGCGTCGGATATTGGCGAAGAGGGAGTGGCTGCTGTTGCGTCGGGGTCTGGGTCTGGGTCTGGTTCTGTCCCTGTGGTTCTGTCTGCAAGGCCGCCTGATTTTGAGCAGGAGGCTGGTGACTTGCCGAATACACCCGGTATGGAGTCGGACGTTGGGCGTGCAATGGTGAGGCCATGGACGCTGGGCGTGGTTTGTCTTTGGACATGGCGGGCACGCTGGCGATAGGTTTGCTGCTATTACCGCTGTTGCTGCCACTGGCCGAGGTCGGCGACGTATTGGACAGGTTGGTTTTGAGTTTCTCGACGACGCCCTCATGCGACTTCTTGAGCGTCTTCTTGACAAACCCGGCCATCAGGCGGTTGCAGCGCAGGTCGACATCCTCGCGAAGGTAGAGGCCGGTGGAGGGTGCGCCAAGAGAAGCGAGTCCCAGCTCCAGGGGCTGCTTGGGCTCGCCAGGCTCTGTGCCGCCAATTGTCCAGCGATCGCGGATGTCAACGCCGAGCGGGGCGCGGCAGTGTGTCTGCATGCCATCAGGCAGTGGGTGGAAGGCGCAGGTGTAGGAAACATTGCCAGGCTTGGTCTTGGCGGATGTGGTATCGGCGGATGCTGGCGAGGAGGCCGACCATGGCATGACGACGGTATCGGTAAGCTGGTACCACGTGCAGTGGGCCTCGTCTGCCTCGGCCTCGGGTGGTGGTGGGATCCGGTGACGGTCTATGATCAAGGGGTTGATGTCAATCATGGTCTCGTAGTCGTGCAGAAAGTCGACGGCGGCTGCTCGGCTGACATTTAGCGGGAGCGGTGTGATGGACGTGAAAACGGTTCGTTTCGACAATGGAGCCGAGAGGCGGTTGGTAGACGTAGGCGATTTCATCGTGGGAGGAGGAAGGAGGGAGAATATAATAAATGTGAGACAAGCAAAACTAAACACAAAAAGTCGTGCAAAATGGGGCGACGATGTTGAAGGTGAGTTGGGATATTGGAAAGATAAAAACAGAAAAGAATCAGGAAGCAAAATAATCACGGACGAGATTGCGAGAAGTGTCAGACAAAGGCGACCAACACACGAGGATGAGAAAACAAGAAAATGGGTCCGCGGAAACTAGTCAACGCAGCCGGGCGAGTGTGACCTTCTTCTCTTTACGTACGAGTTGCGAGGCGATCAAAGTGTGGTACAATATCGAGCGCAGGCGAACAGAGAAATGCATGAGTGATGATATAAATAAAAGAGTGTGTAAGCCGGGTACCTGGGGGCCGTTGGCTCTAAGGTCTGGCTGGGGAAGCCCAAGTTCCCTTCCATTCCGTCTTGGCGTTTTGTTTGTTGTGCCCATGTCCACATTTGGATTGTCTTGGTCGTTTTTCCGTGTACGTTGTATTTTTTTCGTCTTTCGTTTTCTTTTCCTGGTTGATTCGTATTTCTCGTCATCGAAGGCCACATCCGTCCAATGTTTGTAGGCTCGTCTCCACCCTCGCTTAGACAAGGAAGAAAGGACCACGAAGAGCAGCTAAAATAAAATATAATAAATAAAAATACTTTGGAAGCCTCTTGGAATACTTCAGAAGATGTCGTACTGTCGGTTATCTCGACAGCCATTAAGCAAAGGTTGCTGCTTACTTGTTGGCTTGAATGGCATGCATCCATTGCCACTGCACTCTGCTGTTAGTACACTAGCACATACAGTCACGTACTTGCAGTGGCTGACGATCGCAGGAGAAAAGCCCAAATACGAGGCTTAACGTTACCATTTGCACACAAGATACGACGTAAAAGGGGGAAATTGGATCCAAGAGGCCAAAATGGCCGAAATGAGGGAACAAGCGACTGGGGAGGCGAACAAGGAAAGAACGCGGCTGACGAGCGACAATACCTTCCAGACTAGTCGACAAAGAAGGTGCTTGTGAGCTGTTGCCCAAAATAGCAATCATCAGCAGCTAAAAAGTGAAAAAGGTAGGCGCGGGTGGAGTCGCATTGCGCGCCTGCCGCCCGTAGCCCCTGCGGCCAAGAAGGCGCAGCCCGAACATCAGTAAGGCTGTGTCAGCCTCTTCCGCTGTCCCTTCCAAGTGCTCTTTCCATTTCGTCTCAGCCCCGGTCAGTGGCGTTCGAAGGAACGATATATTTTCACAGTTGTGGAAGGCGACACATCATCCAAGCTTTTTATAAGTCACTCCGATTCCACGTATTCTCACGTTTTCCACGTCAACGCATCGGCCAATACACCTCAGCCGGAGCCGCAATGGCATCTCATCTAGCATCGTCTTTGAGTTGCTGTGCAAAATGCACTTGGAGGCTGAAAAGAAAACGTTGTTTAAAGCGAAATTGTCCAAAGAATTAGACCAAAATTCGTCTGGGATAATGAAAAGCACAAACACCGTAGTTGTAAACGTCACATTACGGGCCTTAATAATCCTTGCCAACATCGTCCGTCTCCATATCACGAACCCCGCTGAGCTTAATCAACCGCACACTGCAAAGTATGTACGGAGCCGTAGGGAGGAAACAAAGACGGACACGGGGTCGGTGCAAAGACGAATGAAGACAAGCAGTTGAAATGTTACATACATCGATGCATATGCGCAACATGAAAACAAATTAAATTGTCATAAATCAAACCAAAACCTGAAAGAAGAGCAAACCGCCATATGACTCCGTCCCTTTTTTTGGTCGAAACAATACTCAACATGCACCAAAGCAAAGTCATCCGTTCAAAAATACAGAAAATATAGTCCCCTCCATCCAACCTAAACCAGCGTCGCGCCCGAGTCTCGCGTCCAGCCCTTTTGCCGCATGTTATGCTCAATCGCCTTCCAGATCGACTCTGACACCTCACGGTCACGCCAACGGTTGACGTCCGCGCCTGGTAGATTGGGATCGGTGTACTTGTCAATGGCGCAGTTGAGCACGCGGTGGCCCCAGTCACGAACGCCCGCGGGGACGGGCTCGCCGCGCCAGCCGACGTAGATGCCTTGGACGTGCTTGAAGAGCTCGGTCGGTGTCGTCCACTTGTAGCTCTTGAACTGCCAGGCCTGGCCGGTCGTGAAGACGGCAACGACGCGGTTCCAGTACTCGGGCTTGAAGTGCTCGGGGCCTTCCACGAGGATAAAGCGCAGAGCGCGCGCCGGGTCGATGTCCTTCATCGTGCGGGTCAAGTGCAGCATGGTGGCCGTGGAGCTGTTGTCGGCGGGCGTGTAGCGGCCGGACTCCAAAAAGGACTTGATGTTGGACATGCGCAGCAGGCTGGACGCCGAGGGCGACAGCAGAATGATGGGATCCGGGCGCCGCGTGGGGCCGCTCTTGGGGTTGAGCGGCAGTGCAGCGCCGGGCAGCTTCTTGGCGGCATCGAGGGCACCCGCAGGTGCGGCGCCACCCTGCTGCTTGCGCGACATGAATGGCACGGCCAGCTTTCTCACGTGCGAGAAGTCCTAGAAAAGCGGGGGATGTTAGCGATTCTCCTGTGTTGTGCAGACATGGTGATCTCGGCGCCAGAGGAGCGTGGCGTGGGGACGTGGGGAAGGAGACACGGCGTACCGTTGGCTTGATACCGCGCAGGACCGTATTGTGGTCGCCCGTGCGCCGCTCGCCGCTGTAGATGACCGCCAGGCGCGGGTCGATGAGCGCGCCTCGGCCCGCCCGCGACACAATTGCTGCAGCGCCGGCATCCGTCCGGGCACCGGGCGCCGCACCCGCAGCACCAGCCACACCTGCACCGCCCACGGCCTTGATGTACTCGCTCTCCTCACTCGCGCCCTCCAGCCACGTGATAAGGTCCAGGCGTTCGACAAACGCAAACTTGTGCACCGTTGCCGTCGACCCGACCGTCGCGAGCTCTTCATTGAGGCGCGTGGCGGCCGCATTGTACTCGTGAATGGCCACCTCACGATTGAGCCACGCAAAGTAGATGGACCGCAGGTCGACGGGCACGTCATTGGACACAAAGCGCGTGGGGGCATCGATAGGTACAGCCGTGCGGTCGCCAGCGGCCGCGGCTTCACCGAATTGCAGGAAGCGGGCCTGGGGCAAAGGCGTGGTGGGCGCGTCGCTGGCATCGGTGGCCGTGGGCACGACAGGCGAGCCAGCGGCAATCGCTTGCCGCAGGAAAAGTAACGGATCGATTTCGGCGGTGGCCATTGTGAGGATGGAGGGTGATGCGAAGTCCGATGAAGACGACGTCGCGTCGTCGGAAAAGGGAGGAAAGGAGGACGAAGGTGGCCCGCAGGCCGGACGCTCGCTAGCGAAGGCGCAAGATCGGATCGAGAATCAACAAAGAGTCAGTTGACTGTCGCGAGGGCGCAGATGACCGCGTAAACAAGGTTGTGCGGCGGCGGTTCGTGGAGAGTATTTGAGCTTGACGATGCATCGTGCAACGAAAGCTGTCGTTTGCGCAGGGAGGTCGAGAAAATAGCGTGGCTGTTATCGATAAGATGGCCCACTTTTATCGTTTGCTACTTTCGGGCAACAATAGAAAAGGCATCCAACAATGCGCTCTTCAAGTAGCAAGTGAACTCTACGTTTTTCAAAGTCGGCAGACTATTTTCTTGATGATTAAAGAGTGATATACATATAAGAATTTGTAGAAATAAAGTGGCTGTGTCAAAACTTGTACTTTTAAATAATTAAATCTTTGACTGTCTTTATTAGAATCACGTTAAAAGCCATCCACAATATCCAAACTTTTCATATTGTCTTCAACGATTTGTATGACTTTCAAATAAACCAATTAAAAGCACACACACAAACGAGAATAGCTAAAATGTATTTGAATATATCCATATAAATCATATGTGTCTAGGAACGAAAAATGAATGCCCAACGCCAAGTCCCAAACTTTTTAAAAAATCATGTCTTCTCATTATGCACCCTTGGGTCAAGAGCCAAGGTTAAAAAACACCAAAAGACTACCGGAAAACCTAGACTCGACAGAACCAAACCAAGGGCCCGCCCTCATGCATCGATCAGCATCGTGTCGTCGCCGTCAAAATCGGCGCTCTGCGCCGGCATGGGAATGCCACGACCACGACCGGCCAGCAGCTCGCGTCGGATCTCGGGGCCAATAGCGGCGTGACCATGGGTCAGCAGCAGGTCCAACAGGGCCTCGCGCTGGTCCTCGGTGATGGAGTCGTGGTAGCGCTGGGCAAACAGCAGGAAACTCTGGTGCCAGACGACGGGCGGGACGGCAGAGGCGCGGGCCCGCAGGAAATGAATAACGAGGGCGTCGACGACCTGGTAGGGCAGGGCATAGCGCTTGTCCAGCAGGGCCTTGATGAAGACGCTGATGGCAGACTGGCCCTCGGAGTCGGGCGAGATCTCGGCGGCAATGTCGCACAGGCCCTTGAGGGCGGCACTGGAGTGCAGCACGGGGATGGAGGTGCGCACGAGGGCGGCGCTGATGATCTGGGCCTCGCGCAGCGTCGTGGTGCCCGAGAGCACGAGGGGGAACAGGAAGCCCTTGAAGAAGGCGGCCGGGCGGAACAGCGATTTCTTGAGGGCGGCAAAGAGGTGCACGTTGAGCTTCTTGGTCTCGCGAATGTCGTCGCGCACCCGGTCGAGGATCACCATTTCCATGAAGCGGCGGCCGACCTCGGCCTTGGCGCTCACAAAGATTTTCGTCATCTCGTAGCAGGCATTGGGGGACCACCCCTCGGGCTGCGCAATCTCGAGCAGCGTCTCCCACTGTGGCACCGTCGGGAGGATCTTGAGCGGCTTGGGCAGCTTGCCAGATGTCCAGCGCGACAGCAGGAGGCCGCACTTGCTGTACACCTCGACGACCTTGGGGTTGATGTCGATCTCGCCGTCGTCCTCGCCAAACGCGCCGTGGCCAGCGGGCACGAACTCCATGTTTGAGCCGTCGCCCCGCTGGCCGGCCTCGTGCTCGGCAA